CTCCCTTTCCCTGTGGGTGCTGGGGGTTCCGGGCTGGCACAGACGGTGGAAGAGGACAACCTAGACGATTTTGCATCTGAGCACGGAGCTTCCCTAAGCATGGAGTCTTTCACACTGAAAAGCCTTGTCTCCTCTCCTGAGGTTGTCACCATCCTTCTTCTCTCCCCACCCTTGGCTCTCCCAGTTTGCCCCGCTGTGCCAGCCTGCCGAGGGGGCTCCTGCCCTCTGAGCAGACCTGGAGCTGTTTGCTGGCCCCCCTGGGTGGGTCCCCTCTCCGGGGCTGGGCAGGAGCCCTCCCCAGGACAGGGCTGTGGGTGAAATCTGCTCCCCTGGCTTTCTTGTAGGCGGCGAGACAGGGTCCTGGGAGAGTCCTCCCGGTGGGCTGGCTGTGCTCTGGGTGAGGGGCTCACACTGGAGGCCAGTGCTGGGGGTCCCGAGGCAGTGCCGGCCCTGTGGCACAGCTGTGTCACTCTAAGGGCGGGCAGGCAGCTCTGAGCTGTCTTTAGCAACCCCTCATGCTTTCCTTTCACTTTGGCTGCAGTTCCAGTCCCCCAGGGCTGGTCACCTTGAAACAGGGCATTTCTGGAGGCATCAGAGATGTTGGGTGTATGCCTGTGCAAAGCAGGGTCATGCTGCCCCTGACGTCCTCGCGCAGGGGGAGGAACGCAGGCTCTCGGCGCTGCTTGTGTGCAGGGTTTATCTCCCGTGATGGTGGTAGTTCCCCAGGACAGCTGAGAGAAGGTACCACTGAGCAGAAGAAAACTGGTCTTTGAGATTTGGTTCTGGTGTGGTTGGACCTCTCCATGCGGTGCCCAGGGATGCTGGAGGACACGTCCTGCCAGGGAGGACAGTGGAGCAGGAGTGGTGCTGGCAAGGGAGGAGATGAGGCAGGGGCAGGTCCAGCACAGCGGGAGCCTGAACCCTGGGCTGGCTGGAGCAGAAGGCAGTATGGGTGTGAGCGAGGGCTTGGGCAAGCCACGGGCTTCGGCAGGGGTACAGGCACCTTCCGGGAAGCTCAGGCTCTGCAGCAGCATCTCCTGGTCCGCGTGGGGACCCTTTACATGCCAGTAGTTAGGAGCTGGTGGACAGAAACAGGAGAAGTGAGGTGCACACACATCTCTTGATTCAAAGAGTCTTCCCCTCGGCTCTCTGGAAGTCCCTCGGGGTGCCAGGGCTGTGCAGGTGCCAAGTGGCCTCACTGGTGATTTCTCTCCAGGCATTGGTGGCTGAGACTCAGCAGCTGGTACATGGAAACTTGTCCTCTCCTGGACCGTGAGGAATTTGTGGTCCCAAGAGGGTGATGGCATGAGGAGAGCACATCTGCAGAGCTTGGAGTTCTCGTCATGCTCAGCCAGAAAGTCCCTTGGTGCCTGTGAGCTGTCACCCCCAGCTACAGACATCTTCACCCTTTCCTCCATCCCTTGGTCCTCACTTCTGCTGGGGGACCAGATTGCTGGGCTGGGAGGTGTCGAGATTCTCTTCAGCTTTGGGTGCCAAAGCAACCCAGTGTTGTGTCAAGGTCTCAGATTCACTCATTCTCCCCTCCTTGTCATGAGGCTCGTCCTTTCCTCTCGGGTGAGCTGGGTCTCCCTGAGGAGCAAAGAAAGATGGCAGGAACGTGGAAGGACACCAAAGGGAGAAGCCTCCTGCCTGGCCTAGGGGTCTTGCTGGGGGCAGAAGGCTCTCTCTGCTCCGTGCTGTCATTTCTTTCCTTTCTCCCAACTCGCTCTCTCCTGTGACCTGTAGGGCACGGTGAGAATGACCTTCCCAAATGCTCCTGAGCGGATGCGTTGGAGGAGGGGGGGAGTGCGAAAGTGAATTATCCCTTGGGAAGCTCTATGGGCACACCCTTCCCAGCATCATAATTTCTTGGCCTCAGCTCCTGCCTTGGCAGACGCTCTGTCCTGGCAGCCTACTGACCTGCGAAGCTCCCGCAGTTCTCTCCTTTCCTCGAGGACATGCCCAAGTATCCAGCGCTGGAGACACAAGGGCTGCCATGAACCAGAGCTGTGGCCAGAGCTGGCATTGAGCCCTCCAGAGCAGACTTCAGATCCCACCACGGTGTGGTCGACTCTTCCTGTGGAGTGGGCTGTGCTCGTCCTGACAAAGCTTGAGGAAAGGGAAACTGGTTTGGAAACAAATCTAGAGTCTTGAGCTTTCCTTACTGATTAGGAGGTGTATGAATACATTATTCCAGGCTTCAGAAGACTTGTCTCAAGCCTTGACTCAGAGAAGAGGCCTGAAGAAACTCATCACCTTTGTCTAGGGAAGGGCTTCTCCAAAGGACTCGGCTTTGCAGCCGGGGAAGGAGGACAAAAGGGCTTCTCTGAAGAGATTTGTACATGTGCTCACAACTGTCCGTCCATGCCTTAGCTGCACAGAAAGGGTCCAGCAACCAGACCGCAGTGCAGGAGCAGAAGAGAAGCTGCTGTACCCTCCAGAAAGTAAGCAGTCTTCTGGTTGAAATGCCCACGAGCATCGCTCTTGAATAGGAAAACCGGTGTTGAGGGAATGCCAGAGACCAGCCTGGCTTCCTGGCAGGCCCAGCGCAGCTGCCGAGTTAGCAATCGCGTCGGTTGAGCACCGTGCAGGACCTGGTGCTCCTGGCAGTCGCCGACTGCCTCCGCTGCGATTTCCGTGGACTAGGAAGAACTAAAACCTGCATTGCGGGCAGGTGTGGAGGGAGGCACCTGGAGAGCAGGTGGCGCTTGGGGGCACGGGGTAGAGGGACGTCAGGGAGGCTTGCATGAGCGATGCTGTCGGGAGCTGGTGTGGGACAGCTCTCCTGATACCTGGCTTCTCCAGCGTGGGTGCTCAGGGCTGGGGCAGGGTGCAGGGGTGGTAGCTGAGGACCTGTCTTCCATCTCTGGAGGAGGGTGCTGCTACTGTGTGTGTGCCACGGCTGCCAGGGCAAGCTCTGGGGCACAGTGCCGAGGGAGTTTCACATGTTTTGTCACATGGTGAAGAAGTCAGGAGCTGGGACGTAGCGTTTTTCTGCTGTGGAAGCCTTTCTACTACTAATTGGTTTTCCTCTTTTCTCTCTCTCCTCTAATCTCACCTTCTTTTCCCTTCCCTCTCGCTCCACTTCCCTCTGCCCCACTGTTTCCCCTTATTCAGTATCAGTTTATTAGGTTTCCGTGTCGGGTGCAACCACTCCAGATACTCACCCCGACACCCCTGCGTGGAGCCCTGGCTCATGTTTTCATGGGTAATTTTTCCCAGTTGGAGCGGGGAGAGGGCAGCCAGCCTCCCCCCTCCCTGGGGCTGGAGGTTACAGAGGGTCAGTCCTGCCCAGCCTGGTTGAGCCCCGTGTCACGGGCAGAGCCAGCCCCGTGGCGAGCTCCACAGGACCATGCCCGCAGCGTTGCCCCTAAGGGCCTGCGGCAAGATGC